TGATAAGGGAAAACTAGTGGTCCAATTTGAGTTTAAGATTGACATTGCTGCTATCAAGGTGGTGTTGAGCCCCCAGTTTTGATCTCGAGGTCTGCTGCAAGCCTGCAAGTCAGACTGTCAGGCAAGATATGGTGTACTCTGAAGCACTGATTCTACAAATTAAACCCTTTTTCCAAGTTTGTGGGAGTTAGATTTTCCACTAGAAACCATTGCTTGATCAGCTGATTTGGTCATCAAAATCTTCTAGTGGAGGTCAGCGTACGAATCTAGCAATAAAGAACTCTGCATCCATTAGAGGCAGGACACTCCCCGATTAAAAGTCTCCAGTCTGGTAAACTCTGCAACTTAGGTTCAAGAATGATTTGGCGTTAGGGTCTGAAACATAAAATACAGTCGGCTACAGACCTCTGCATGATGCTCAATAGAGTATTAACTTGCACATGGGTGTATGACAATTCTGCTTCATCCTTGGTACAAATGGTACAAGAGCAGATGAACCTACTAAGTTCCAGTGAAAAGACCTCCAGTAAAATCCATGTCTCAAACTCGGTCTCAAAAATAGGGCGAACTAGATTTCTCAGTTCATCGACAAGTGGTAGGGAGTATAGCACAAAGAGTATCACAAGAAATCTCTAACTATATAATGTTTAAAACTCACCCCCTGCATGACTACACAGAAACTCACCCCCTGCATCTTTCTCTGGATGTTGCCTTCTCATATAGTTCGTATTGGCTATATCTTTGAAGGAGACTGACCACTCTCCTTTACTGATACAATTTTTTCATGAAACAAACAGAACCTATTCAAAATGCACAGGAATTTGCTAAAAAACAATAAAATATTTTGGTTCAGAATACAGAAATACAAAATAAGCATAATCATCCTATTTAACAGCTTTTGACCCAAGAGTTTACTAGAGAATCCCATTCCCACTAGTTAGGTTGTTAAAAAGATCAATAAATAATAATACCTATAGTCTCAAGTAACAAAACTACATCAGATGAACTAGACAAATAAAAGTCTGGCAGCAGGTCTCAAATAGTAGGAAGATGAATTAGGCTTCGGAACTATATATGATGTTATATAGACAATAAATGGAAGGCCTGAAAAAATAAAATAAAAACCATGAGAAACTACAGCCCACCATCACTCTAGCAACATCAAAGCTCTAAGAAAGGATGCCGTAACTGACTTGAAGACTAGTTCTCCATCAAAACTGTCAGTCGTCTGCTAGCAAACATCTATAACAACATACAGCATAGATATTGAATGGAACAACGAACCACTAATTTATCTGTTTTTATAACCATAAATCAACAGAAAAGATTAGTGCTAATCTAATAACAGGGTTCCACAAATTTATGACTTATGATACTAGTGATGAGGGAGCTTTGAGATTTGGTGATATATTTTAGCATTGTTGATTGTACCAGAATATAACAAAAAAGTTATTAATGGGTAATGAAACAGAGCTCATTCCTTCAAGCTTTATCAACCAAATAGGCGTCAAGCTAAAATAGACGATGCTAGACCGCTCCTACAGTCCTATGAGGTTAAAAATTACGTGAAATGCAATTCCGAAGTACGCCTTGATGACCAGTAGGGCGTTCTTGACGCCTGCAAATTGTTTTTGATCACAGAACAAGATGACTAATGGTGAAATCCGTCTCAAGTTGTCATCAATACCATCAAGAAGACATCACTTGCACCGGAAAATGATTTTCTTCATCAGCGACATGGCTTTCAAGCCCCAACAGTAGTTTAGCATCCAATGACAAATCAGCTAATCTTATTTGATAAAGATTTAAGTAATAAGTAACATTACCAAAACCACATCAGTTTGTATTATATGTCATAACATACTTATTGTCACTCCCCCCTCTCCCAACCCCCCCAAAGCATCCATATGAAATTCGTTTTAACCCACCCCCAAAGCATTCATTAAAAATTCATTTTAACGAAAATGGTGATGCATAAGCAAAATCATGCAGTCATTACAAGGATCATTACCCAGTATAGTTCTCGTTAACCAAAGGTGGTGCGAGAAGCAAACTAGATACAGAAATCAACTTTGGCATTACAAAAAGTAATTCAAATTCATAGGAACCAATGATACATGTATCTAACAAATAATGAGACAAATTAAGAATCAAAAGCTTATATGACGCACAATCTCTGAAGTTTGGAAAACCAACTGAACTAAACAAGCTTGGATATTTAGCAGATCATGATAAAACAATATGATGCACAAAGAAATATAGATAGGGACAGAAAACATCTCTAAACAAATATAGGCATATCAATCAGAAGTTCTACCAAATTACTGATTACAACTGAACTAATACAGGTTACAAATAGAAATTCATTTCAAATGGAAGCACTATAACCAAAACTATCAAATAAAGAACAGTGAAAATATCAAAATGAGAAAAAACAAACATTACCCACTACTGTACACAGCTTCCTCTTTCCTCCTCATCCCCAACTAGCAACTCCTACTCAAAACACAAGTCAACTACCTGTACTCCAAAAATGACACACAACCCAAAGAATTCTATAAACTCCATAGCCCCAATTCAAATGAGTTCAGTTTTTCTACCCTCCGAAAAATGAGAAAAAACCACGGTTTTTTGGTTCCTCCTCCATCACCACAGCTTGCATGCTGTCTTGCTCAACCAGCCTCCAAGCTGCCTGCTCGAAAGAACAAACATTCCAGCGTATACATTTAAAAACTAAGTCAAGAGAATGGAAAAACTAAATCTATTAGGGCCAGTTTGGCAACCAGTTTTGTTGCATGTTTTGTGTTGCGGATGGTTTACTGCAGAGAAGCAAAACCCCTTAACACACTTGGTAACTTTTGTTACCCAAAAAGAGGCCCAAATAGAAAACCAAAATTTGGTATTTCCTAATGTTTTCTCACTGCAACAAAAACATTCTAATAGTGCACAGTACCCAAAAAAATAAATAAATAAAACACTCTAGGTAGCCATTAAGTCAAAGCAATCATGCAATGCTTTTTTACCAAAATCTTGCAACAAATTTTACGTTACCAAACATACTTTCAATCACAAATGAACACACTCCACAACAAAAACATTGTTCTTGTTTCAAATGAAAACAGAAACACAAAATGGAAATAGTTGCCAAATGAGCCCTAAGTTCACTGCCTTTTGCAAGGAGCATGTCACAAAAAAACTGATACTTGACAACACAGAGACTCACTCCTTGCATCTTTCTTCCAATGTTACCTTAAGGAGAAGTAACCACACACCCTGCTCATCTCATATTATTATTCAAATCCACATTGACTATACTAACATGCCAAAGTTACAAGCACAAAGATACCAGACACCATTAAAAGGAATAACCCCTATCCCATGCCCTGATTCAATTTTTTATGAAACAAGCAAAAACCCATGGGAAATGCACAAAAACTAACTCCTAAGGAAATCAGTTCTGTATACTGAAATTAAAGTACAAACATAATTATCCTATTTCACTACTTTTGACCCAAGAGTTTCACCGAAGAAACCCCTCTCAAACAGTTGGAAGTGGCAATTAGGCTTGGGAAACACATAAAATACTAAAAGAAGATAAAAGCATGAGAAACTACAGTCTAACCAGATTAGCTAGCATCAAATGTTTAAGAAAGGATGATGTAAAGACAAGCAGCATGGATACCAATGGAATTAAAAAAAATGAAACCCATTAATTTCTCTCAGTTTATAGAATATTAGATAGAATTGAATATTGCTAAACTAATGACAAGGTTCTCCAAGGTTACACTGCCTATTATGTTGCTAGTGATGAAACACGCTCAAATATCATGAGCGTTGGGAGTTAGTGATATACTTCTACTATTATTGTAATAAAATATAGAATAAAATCATAAAGGGGCAAACACCCATAATCTATTCATTCAAGTGTTATCGACCAAAATAGGCATTCAGTGTGACCTTCTGTTACTTGCTGTGACACTCTGAATGTACATATAATAATTAGAAAGAACCAATCTAGACTAACTTTTTTTTTTTTTTTTTTGATAAATATGAGCAGCTATAGACTAAAAAGTTTTTTATAAGGGAAAACTAGTGGTCCAAGATTGTCATTGCGGCTATCCAGAAGGCATTTCGCATCCTTTTATTTTTTTCTTTGCTATACACACCCATGCTTTCACTGAGGCTCGAACCCTTGACCTCCCTTTGACATTGAGCATCATGGCCTGATACTTCCAAGGGATTTATTAAGCCCCAAGTTCTGAGTTTCAGGTCTGGTGCAAGTCAGACTGTCGGGCAAGAGATGCTGTGCTCTAAAGCAATAAGCTTCGGATTAAATCCTGTTTCCAATTTTGTGGGAGTTAGATTGTCCACTAGAGACCATTGCTTGATCATCTGACTTGGTCAAAATCTTCTAGCAGAGTTCAGCGTGTGAATCAGGCAATCAAGACTCTGCATCCATTAGAGGCAGGACACGCCCGATTAAAAGTCTCCAGGTAAACTCTGCAACTTAAGGTTCAAGATTGATTTAGCGGAAGGATCGAAAACATAATACAGTTGGCAACAAACCCTTTGATCCTGCACATAGTTGTATGACAATTCTGCTTCATCCTTAGTGTACATGGTACAAGCACGGATGAACCTACCAGTGAAAAGACCTCCAGTAGAATCTCTGTCTCAAAGTCAGTCTCAAATATAGGGATTAGGGAGAACTAGATTTCTAAGTTCATTGCTTTGAAAAGTGGTAGGAAGTATAACACACAGAGTATCACAAAAAATCTCTAACTATATTGTGTTTAAAACACACAAACATTGATGCTTGACTACACAGAAAGTCACTCCTTGCATCTTTCTCTGAATGTTACCTTAAAAGGAGAAGTGACCAAACACCTGGTTCATCTCATATACTTCGTATTGGCTATTCTAACATTGCAGAGTCATAAACATAAATAAACCCATATCTTTGAAGGAGACTGGCCGCTCTGTTCAAAACAAACAGAACCTATTCAAAATGCACAGAAATTTACTACAAAAACAATGAAATATTATGGTTCAGAATACAGTTCTGTATGCAGAAATATAAAACAAGCATAAGCATCCTATTTAACTGCTTTTGACCCAAGAGTTTACTGGGGAATCCCATTCCTCCTACTAGTTAGGTAGTCAAAAAGTTCAAAAAATAAATAAAATAGTAATACCTATAGTCTCAACTCTCAAGTAGCAGCAACTACATCAGATGAACTAGACAAATAAAAGTCTTGCAGCAGGTCTCAAATAGTTGGAAGATGAATTAGGCTTCGGAACTATATGATGTTATATAGACAATACATGGAAGACCTGAAAAAAAAAAAAAAAAAATCCATGAGAAACTAAAGCCTACCATCACTCTAGCAACATCAAAGCTCTAAGAAAGGATGCCGTAACTGACTTAAAAGTTTAAAACTAGTGTTCTCCATCAAAACTGTTAGTTGTTTGCTAGCAAACATCTCTAACAACATACAGCATGGATACCGAATGGAATAAAGAACCACTAATTTATCTGTTTTTATAACCATAAATCATCAGAAAAGATTAGTGCTAATCTAATAACAGGTTTCCCCAAGGTTATGACTTGTGATACTAGTGATGGAGGAGCTTAGTGACGTATTTTACCATTGTAGATTGTACCACAATATAATAAAAAAAGTTATTAATGGGTAATAAAATTAAAACAAAATTCAAGTTTTATCAACCAAATAGACATCAAGCTAAAATAGAAGCTGCTAGACCTATTCTACAGTCCTAGTTGCTAACTAACTAATAATGAGGTTAAAAATTATGTAAAACGCAATTCCGAAGTACACCTTGATGAGGTGCAGGGCATTCTTGACGCCTCCAAATTGTTTTTGATCACATAACAAGATGACTAATGGTCAAATTTGTCTCAAGTTGTCATCAATACTATCAAGATGACATCACTTGCACCGGAAAATGGTTTTCTTCATCACCGAGATGGCTTTCAAGCCCAGCAGTAGTTTAGCATCCAATGACAAATCAGCTAATCTTATTTGATAGAGATATATAAGTAACATTACCAAAACCATGTCAATTTGTACTATATGTCATAACATAATTATTGTCACTCCCCCAACCCCCCCCCCCCCCCCCCCCCCCCCGCGCAATCCCCAAACCCCCGCCCCCCAAAGCATCCATATGAAATTCGTTTTAACATTAATGGTGATTCATAAGCAAAATCGTGCCGTCATTACAAGGATCATTACCTAGTATAGTTCCTGTTAATCAAAGGTGGTGCGAGAACCAAACTGGATACAGAAATCAACTTTGGCATTACCAAAAGGTATTCAAATTCATAGGAACCAATGATACATGTATCTTACAAATAATGAGACAAATTAAGAATCAAAAGAATATATGACGCACAATCTCTGATATTGGAAAACCAAATGAACTAAACAAATTCGGATACTTAGAAAATCATGAGGAGACAAAATGATTAATAAATGCATATTAATCAAAAGTTCTACCATATTCCTGAATACAACTGAACTAATACAGGTTGCAAGTAGAAATTCAATTCTGAAGGTAGCACTAGAACCACAACTATCAAGTAAAGAACAGTGAAAATATAAAAATGAGAAAAACAAACATCACCCACTTACTGTACACAGCTTCCTCTTTCCTCCTCGTCCCAACTAGTAACTCCTACTCAAAACACAAGTCAACTAACTCTACTAAAAAATCACACACAACCCAAAGAATTCTATAGCCCCAGTTCAGATTAATGCACTTTCTCTACCCTCCGAAAAACGAGAAAAACCCACGCTTCTTTGGCTCCTCCTCCATCACCACAGCTTGCATGCTGTCTTGCTCAACCAGCCTCCAAGCTGCTTGCTCGAAAGCCAACCCTGCCAATGTAGGTGGCTTATTCAATACAAGTGGGAATCCTCGATTAGTACTACGAATAACCTCTGCATCCTCCGGAATCACTCCCAACAATGCCAATCCCAACATCTCTTGAACATCAAGCACAGACATCATATCTTCTCCTTTGATCAAATCTGTCCGAACCCGGTTGACAATCATCTTTATATCCCTAATTCCATCACACTCGAGCAGTCCTGTGACCCTATCAGCGTCACGTAAGGCTGTAATGTCGGGCGTGGTCACCAAAACCGCCTCATTGGCCGGTGTAATCGCCGTAATGAATCCGGCATCGATGCCTGCTGGACAATCAATTAGAATAAAGTCCGGGCAACCTTCTTGACGGTCTTTTAGCGCATCAACGAGCCAAACTAGGGCTTTTCCACCAAACCCAATTGGGAGTTTCGACCTAGGCTTCGATATACACAACAATTCGAAGTTGGACCACCGCTTGTCGCGTACTAGGGCTTGGTCGAGCCTACAATCGCCGTTGAGGACTTCGACGACGGTGTAATTGACTCTGTTTTCGAGCCCAAGGAGAAGGTCGAGGTTTCGGAGACCAACATCGGCATCAATGGCCACCACTGAGAAGCCGAGACGGGCGAGAGAGAGGCCCATATTGGCGGTGGTGGTGGTCTTGCCAACACCGCCCTTGCCGGAGGTGATGACGACAACTCGTGGGGTTTCTCCGGCCAATTGGGGCTTGCGGTTGTATTGGAGGACTGATTGTACGGTAGTTGTGGTGTAGGGTTTGGTCCTGTAATAGGGTTTTGGAGGTTTTAGGAACTTTGTGTTGAAGGGTCTGGAAGTGGATGTATAGAGAGAGGAGGGTTTAGGGTTTGTAAGCGGTTGCAATGACATCATTGCTGTTGTGAGTGTTGGGGAGAGAGAGAAAAAAAGAGGGGCTTGGGGCTTGGGGAAGAAGATCCAAAGTCTTCTGAGCTGAGTTGAGAGGGACTTGGAAAATGAGAGATGGAAAATGAGAGAATTGGTAATAGAAGTTTGGAAGATGACGAAAAAGTGCAAAATTCAGGGATTACGTTGCTGATAAACTAGCTTGTGGGAGGGCTTTTATGACATTTTATGACAGACCTCCCTATCATCCATTAGAAGCTGGTCCAGTTTGTGTCACTCAAAATCTCAACTGACCAATTACCCATCCCAACAAAGCTAGATGCAGATTTTCAGTCAGCCTAAAAAATGATTGGGTTAATTACAATGACACCCCTGAGGTTTACTATAATTACAATTATATATAAGTTAGACTATTTTTGGACGATGACACCCCACTAGATTTGATAAAGTTAACAAAGGCACCTCTTGCTAGAATTTTTTATCCAAACATACCCTTAAAATGTGAGAAAAGACCAAATTGCCCTTCAATAAAATACTAATTTTTAATTTAAAATATTCAAATCTTCAAATGACAGAATTACCCTTATTAATTCTAATTTTATATCTCTATCCTCTCTCACTGAAAACCAGAAATTTTGCCCCCAAAACCACCACCACCCACCACTGCCACCTCCACCAAAAAACGAAACAAAGAGATTGCAAATGGGTTTAGTGAGAATTATTGCGTACTATTAATTAATTTCTCTGTGCCTATCCAATGTGTTTCTTCAATTTTGTGGGCAAATAAATATATATATATATATTTCTTGAAAGAATGAACAGGGGCAATAGTGGTAGAGAGAGTGGAGGCGGTGCCGGGCTTTCGTCAAAGCATCCACTGGCCGTGGAGACTCGGCGGCGAGCTTGCGAGCAAAATGGAGAGCACGAGTGTGGATGAACTGCGGCAAAGCGGTGACGGACTAGCTATGACAGCTTAATGAAGCCGATAGAGACGGGCTGGTTAACTGCGGCGGTGAGCAAGGAGGGACTTTCGGCTTTGATGATGTCCACCGGCGGGCAAGGAGAACTCGGTTGTGGATATCTGCGACCGGCAATGAGAGCGACGGCGAGCTCGGCCAATGGCTGTGGATCGGTGAGACAGATTTGGATGTCCACCGGCAGGGACTCTCGGCTTTGATGATGTCCACTGGCGGGCAAGGAGAAGTCGGCTATGATTTGCGACCGGCGATGAGAGCGACGGCGAGCTCGACCAGTGGTTGTGGACGGTGAGACAGATCCGGCGAGGGAGGTGGAGCACGGCTGTGGTTGGCAACGGTGCTACTATCCCAATTTTTTGTTGGACTTGGTTTTATATATATATATATATATGATGGTGTTGATGTAATAATGTATATATATAAGGGCAAAATTGACTTTTCATAAGTTCTGATATTTTTCCACAAAAATGAATTAAACATTGAAGGGCAATTTCGTCTTTTTAACATTTTAAGGGCTTGTTTGGATCAAAATTCTCACAGGGGGTGTCATTGTTCAAAAAATGGCTAAGTTATATATGGTTGTTAATACATCAAACCTCAGGGAGTGTCGTTGTAATTAACCCAAAATAATTTTACCATTCGAAAAAAGAAAAAAAAAAAATTTAATGATTTTATTTATTTGTTTATTTTTAAAATTTTTACATGTAGTTCGATTGTGGTATCTCGTCAATGCTCTCTCACCCGTCCAGGCAATAGTGCCTAGTAGTCTAAAAATGAGTTTCATTACATAAACAAACTCTCACACATATCTTTTTAAATTTATGAGGGCATTCATTTTAGAGTTAATTCCATAAAATATGCAATACTTTCAAATTTTAATCATAAATTTTGAATCTATTATATAAAATTCTCATGCTTTAAAGTTTAAAAAGTGATTAAATTGCCCAAATATCCATATTCAGCTCGTTAACTGGGTTGTGAAGAGGCAAATTTGATCTTGCTATTATTTAATGTTGTATTAAAAATTAAAAAGAATTTGGATTAATTTCATAAAAGGCTTACGGGTTTTAAATTTTGATCACAAACTCCCAACTTATTTCATAAAACCCCCACCACTTAAAAAAGTGATCACATTGCCCCAACTTTTTAAACGTGCGTGTGATGATCACATGCACCTATAAATCCTATTTTATGACGAAATTGCCCCTTAATGGTAATGTGATTTTCCATCCCCTGTTGATTAATTTCGTTATTCCAAAAAATATCCCTATCCCTTCTTCTTCACCTCTATCCGAACAAATGCATTCGCAGCCCTAATAAAGGCCATTTTGCAGCGAGGATGAAAGGGAGGAGAGAGACAATGACAAGTGCCACGATGACGTAGTCGACGATGGTGAAGCTATTGTAGTTGAGGAAGGAGAGGGCAAGATTGGAGAAGAGGATTGCGAGGTAGCGAGAGACCCGAAGCGAAACGGGGAAGATTTTCTTAATGTAGTCAATGTAGAGTATGGGGAAGGCGACGAGGTTTATGATGACGGAGAGGAATTTCTAGGTGCTCATTAGGGAGCCAGTGAAGGGTTCGAAGGCCATCCTATATATACCAAGTTCCCTCTGCGGGTCTCGCCTCCCACAAAAACGCTTAAAACAGCCCATTTGAGTCTCAAACGTCGCAAACGACGCAAAGTAGTGCAAAACGGATAATGACAACATAAACGAAGAATACAGTGATGTCAAAAAAATTTCGAACTCAAATATCAAGCATGGGACCCACCCGGCACTTTCCGGGCGCGAAACCAAAACTGACTGAAATGAACCCAAATGAGTTTCTAAGGGTTTTAAATTCGAAAAAACATCCCGCACAACTCCCAGAACACCATGACACGCATCCCCTTGCACAAAATAAAATAAAAAGAAAAATGTCTGAAAAATCGAAAAATTCAAGAACATCATAGACACAATCACCAAGAAAAGGCAATGATGAACATTAACATTTAGAAACCGCTCAACTTCCAAAGGCAGTTCCTTACATGAATCGAATTCATAAAAGGATTTAGGGGCAAAGTGTAGAGGCAAATTTTACCGAAGGTCCAGCAAGAAAAGACTCAACACAATAATGGCCGAAAGTAAATGATGAACAATAAAAATTTAAGACCTCGTATGTAACGGTCTATAACGGCTCAAAATATCCTGGTTATAATAAGTATAAATATAAAGGACAAGACCCACAAAAACAGATCATCTAATTCCTTTTGCAATTAGCCTTTTTTCTTTTTGATCTCCTTCTCAATACTCTGTTTAACTGTTTGTAAATATCCTTAATTAAGCATTTGATATTTGGAGTCGAATCTGCTGAAATTTTATACAACTACAAATGATAAAAATAATTTAAAACTTTTTCTTTTGTTTTATCCCTAACAAACGCAATAAATCGGTCTAACACTACCACTCCTCCTAATATTAGGATTATCTATAAATTAATTATCCTATATATGGGGGAAGACTCTCAAAAGCGACGAAGCAGTTCCAATACAGAGAGATTAGAAAACCTAGGCAAGTAGACGAAGCAGTCCCTAGAAGAACGATTGAAACGATTGAAATCATGTCAACATTCGGACAATTCCTGTATTACGGAAGAAGAAAGATGAAAAAAGAACTCATGAAGAAGAAGAAGAAGAACCTCTCGGCCTCAAAGAAGGAGGTCGAAAAAACTGTCTATCTTCGTACACCCCATCTAGTTCATTTTACGGAAGAGGAGACTGTGTGGTACCAAATTAATTTATCATGCAAGGACGAAGATTACGACAGCGACAACAACTTCGACCCCGACCGAAAAGGGAGAAGGAAGAAGGGACAAGGAAAGCCGCCGACGCCAATCGATCCGATCTCGAAGACGTCGATGCCGTGGTCGAATTGCCACTGTGTCGCTCTGGACTCCACTATATACGCCATTAATGAGGGTTCTCGTATCTGCTCCACGGACGCTGGCAATCTCTGGACGGCGGGAAGGCACTGGAAGCTACTTACTACGATTCACCCTGCTAAGATTCACTCTGTAAGAAGCATGTTCGCTAAGGTGGTGGCTCTCGACGGTAAAATTTATATCTTTAGTGCACCACCCTTTGATCCTAATTCTTATAGTAAGTACCCACCTGATTTCATGGTGGCTGAGGTTTTCGATCCGATCAATAACATATTTGCGGAGAAAATTCCAGACCCCCCAGTTCAATTTGCTGCTCATGATGGAGTCTTTGCAGTTGCTGATCCTTCTCATCAAAGGATCCTATTGGGTTCTTTCTGTAAAGGGGTCCTCCTTGCCTATTACGTGAGAAATTGTTCTTGGGAGATACTAGACCCTCAATTTTATACTTGCCGTGTTGGCACCTGGAGCCGCCCTGTATTGTTTGACAATACATTGTACTTGATTTGGCTTGGTGCTGGTGGGGGATCCGGAGGCATATTTGCATACGATTTGGATCGAAAAATATCAAATGTTGGACCTATCATATATCTACCCGAGTCGTTCTATTTGAACCACCATTTTACCCCACTTTTCTTTCATTTCGGTGGTGATCAATTCTACTTGCTCTGGACTGACATAGTTGGGGATAACCGACACAGTCCGCTGTGTGTTGTTCGATGCTTTAGACTAAGAGTGCCCAAGGACACGATAACAGCCGACAAGGAGCTGATTGCTTATACTCTCTCTGAAAAGACTTATCTACTAGACAGAGTAGAACCCAGCATGGATGGCGTAGTGCTGTAAGTAATAATTCTCTCTCTTCTTCTTCTTCTTCCTTTTCTTTTTTTGACTTTTTGTACTACTTTCTCACTTATATATACTAGAGCTTTGTTGATATATAATTTAGTTTTTTGGGTATCTCGAAGATTCTGCACCTGGTAGCTTTTTGATAATTTTGTTGGTTTAAAAGAATGTTTTTAGTGCCCTTTTTAAAATAAAAAAAATTATATTTGATTATGTTCTTAAGCACTACAAAAGAAGTACTCATGTGGCCCATTCTCGGTACATCCTTGACAACTATCCTATACATGCGCTCGCGTGTATGCGTGTGTGTTAAAATTTGATTAAATTAGATCATTGTGATTGTGTTTTTCTGTGTTGGTTTTGTTCTCTACCTTCTCACAGGGGCATGGAAATAAGATAGTTCTATTGGAGTGGACGACAAATAATAGGTCGAGAATGTGTGGTCGAGCTGAACAACCACTGCTAGATATGATTCTGCTCCCCATTTGTGCTACCCAAGTAATATTCTTGCCCTGCTCTCTTTCAGCTTAAAAAGGTTGTGGTGAGATTGAGTCTCACTTTGGAATTCTAGGACAATGGGTGTTATCATGTTGCGTAGCCTTTGGTAGTGAGATTGAAGGGTCTTGTGTAACTAAATAGTTATTAGAAAAGCTCACACATTATCACGTTCAAACCCACCACTCATTCCCCATTCAGCCTATGATATATATTGAATTCATTAATTCCCTAAAGAGAAATATTATATAAGAATGAGGTAGACATATAAAATGACGATTGATATAGAGGACTTGGGCAAAACAAGCTTGAAAAAAGACGATTACAAGTAGAAGCCTTGAATTAGGCAAGTGAGACTGACTTTGCTTCAATTTGATCATGATTTTCGATATGTATATAATTATAGAGAATATGGTTCTTTGAATTATATGATGAAAAGTGGAAGCCTTTTTATACATTACACCCTCCTGGGATAACTTACAATAGTCTTTTAGTTGGGAAAAAGTCAATCTGAATATATAAAATCTAATTTAAATTTTATCATCAAATGTTCATCTCTCTAAGATGCTCACTAGTATATAAGATTTTAGCCCCTTGAAAAGTCTAGAATGACCTCGCCAACATCATTCCTATTCCTTCCTCTAAATCCATGTACACCGTGAACTATTTTATATCCTCCACAAGCTGTACTATACCCACATGATCCTTAAAGTCCACCTATAAATAATATTCTCATTTAGGTATTCCTTGAATTAATATTTTTTTCCCCTAAAGTTGGCTCTAATATACTTTTTTGTATTCTTACTTAGAGTGCATTAGCTCCAATTATATCCCCAATATTTTTTGTCCAATGCAATTTTACTATATTAAATGTATAGTTTCTAATTAACAGTCACACACACACGCGCGCGCGCATATATATTTGTTAATCATCATTGTTCGTGATTTTCTTACTTCATTTTTGTGTCATTATTTTTTATGTGCAATATAGTATTCATTCTACATTTTCTTATCTCTTGTCCTTTTAAGTTCGTTCTAGGTATGCTAAAATACTCCTCCTAACCAAACCAACTTCATCATTTCATATTGTTGATTTTCCTATAATTTAAGTCCTTTATTTTTCCTTTTCAAAAATAAGGGAGGGTGGGAATTATCGCCTTTTGTCTTCAGCGTTCAGGCTTCTTTCGTACTATAGCTAATGTGTTGTTTGGTAAAGTCAATTCAACACTTATTTTTGGATATTATGTCTTTTGAGCATCGTATCTCGTGTACAAAAGTCAGAAGCACAATGCACCTGCCCACATGCACGCACAGGGGGAGAGAGAGAGAGAGCTCTGGGGGCGAAATTCCTTTTGTTAAAGGTGGGTTCTTATGTAAGTTAGCTACATAATTGTATATTAAGGGTGTTATGCATATTTAGGTAGCTTTTTGGGAGCTTTGGAAAACCAAAAAGCCTTCAGTAAGAAGGGAATGAGATTGTAGGAATGCCTTTTAACACACAGAAGATGTTTGGTGAACACATTGAAAAAAATAAGAAATAACTTGTGTTAGGAATTTAGCAATTCTAATATTGTAGTTGCTAAATTTCGTAGTACTAAACTCATTCTTACATGGAGGGGTGCTTGATACTGTTTCCTCATGAAGCTACGACTCATTTTGTGGAGTGTCAGGGGCCTCAATGACTCGGACAAGTGGAAGGTTGTGAAGTTGGCAGTGAGAAAATGGGGAGCTCATGTGGTGTGCTTGCAAGAAACGAAGATTGCTTTGATGACGGATAGGGTGGTTAGGTGCCTTTGGGGCAGTAGGTTTGTTAACTTTGTTGAATGGAGGTGTTGGATTCTTCAGGGACTTCTGGAGGTATTCTTAATATATGGGATAGGAGATGGATGGTAAGGGTGGAGGTGTGGAGAGGGAGATTCTCCATCTCATGCGCTTTTGTGATGGAGGAGGATGGTTTTAAATGGGCATTGTCCGGTGTCTATGGGCTGGTAGAGGATAATGAGAGAGTTGTGCTGTGGGAAGAGCTCGGTGTTGTGAAAGAGACGTGGTCTCTTCCTTGGTGTGTAGCTGGGGATTTCAACGTGGTTAGGTCGCCATCTGAGAGTTCTGCAGGTGGTAGATGGTCTTCGGCTATGTCGCAGTTTTCGGAGTTTATTAATGGATATCATCTTATTGATCTTCCTTTAGAGGGCACTGCTTTTACTTGGTCCAACAGTAGGGATTCACCCACTTTTTCCCGCTTGGATAGATTCTTGATCTCTGGAGAGTGGGAGGAGAAGTTCCCGGATGTGGTTCAGGCTGCTTTGGATAGGGTGACTTCTGATCATATTCCATTGGTTTTGGATTGTGGAGGTTTGAGGCCTCGGTGTACTCCTTTCAGATTTGAGACCATGTGGCTGAGAGCGGATAATTTTTAAGGAAAAGTGCTGGGGTGGTGGCTGAGAGCGTATGGTTTATGAAACTTCTTAGTATAAATAGAATGTGGTGGAAGGATGAAAGTATTCTTTCATTATTTCTCCCTTTACCCATCTTTCTCTCTTTACCCATCTTTCTGTCCTCCTCTTCCTTCTCTTCTTCTTCATCTTCTTCTACTTTACTGTTGTTTTGATTATTTCTTAAAGTCAACATCTTTCAATTCGTTGATTCCTTTATTTGGATTTTTTGGGTTTCTTTTTCTTTTGTGATGTTTATTGTCTTTTATAAATTAGATGTCTGAAATTCTTGTATGGATGTGATATGTGTTGTTCTGTCCAGGAGTTCTCGTTTGTTGCGTTTGGGAGCACCGAATAGGTTATTTGGATTTGGGATTTGGAAGAAAAAATTTAGTTCAATGTTTTAACTAAATTTCTTCCGATTCCAAATCCAAGCCGCCGATTTGGTGCTTCCAAACATAACAATTATGTATTTGGTCTTTCTTGTATTTCAGTTTATCAAAATTTGCTATTCTAAGGTTCTCTGTGTTAGATTATTTAAAAACTGTTTATGATTGAAAAGGGAAAAACACAGTAACTATTTTACAAGTAAAATATGTCAGATTCTGGACCAAGGTAAATTAATATGGATTTTACACTTACTCTCCTATTGTTACTTGGAAATCATGCTGAATGTTCATGTTGTCCATTGCATGTTATATGACACCTATTGTGATGTTGGATATAAACCTTTCCAGGAAGTCTTGGCCAATCAACACCTCTTTCGAGTCAGCCAATGAATGGAATTAAGTGTACTCAGGAGATTCATTAGAATAGGGGCCTCCAACTGGAAGTGCTGCTTCCTTTCCAATGGCAGTAGGTGAGGTCGGAGCCGGCAGAACCTTGCCGCCTTGAACTGACAAACTTTCAAGGATAATTATAGTAATAGAGAAGAAGCTACACTTTGGTGATTTTACTTGGAAATCATGTTGAATGTTTATGTTGTCCACGGCATGTTATATGACATTCATTGTGATACCGAAATGTCGAGGCATCAAATGAAGTTTTCACCGACTGGTATCGTGAGGAGTGAGTGTGCTAGTAATTTTTAGAGAAGAGATTTGAAGAATTTATTGTATAAGGTAGGGAAAAAAAGAAGCTTTTCTTAAAATAAAAGTTAGTAGAAAGGAAAAAGGCATTGGCATTAAAATCCTAAAAAATGAAAAAGAAAAAAAGAAAGAAGGAAAAGAAATTAAAATAAAAATAAAAATTGGAAAAAGGAAAACTTAAATTTTAATTATTAAAATACATTATACTGATTCAATTGTGTTAAAGTGTGGCTTTTCATATTTGAATGAGTAAAATATACCAACCAGTAATGGGCTTTGAAAGGTTGAAAGGAGTTAAAACAGTAGGAAATTTTGTGTGCCCTTCAGCCCTTCAGGTCTTGTAAAGGGTCATTATACTTACTGAAGTAACGGCTAGAAGGAATAAAATAGTAAAAGAGGAAAACTAATTATCTTTAAAGATGGAAACTGATCTATGAGCATCGATGAGAAAGTAAAGTAGAATAATAGAAGCCCTTTAAAGAAAGTGGTCTTATGGACTTTATAATAGAAGCCCTTTATAGAAAGTGGTCTGTTATGGACTTCTTGGGTGCAAATTTGAGTCTAAATCATGTGTCTAAGACCTATGGAAGTCGCGGCTACACTGTCCCCATGGTCAACGCAACAGTATCTGAACAATTTTATTTATTTATTTTTAAAGTCAAAATATTAATATGGATTTAAACAACAAATGGAAGTTCATACAATATTTAGATTATTATCTGCAACTTGCTTCTCCGTCATCCTTGAGACTCAGAGGAAATCCCATGCTAGTATTTCATAAAATGGTCGATGCATAAACTTACTCTCCACTTTGTGCGTCAAATTCATATCTTATGTCTACTGATTTTACGATTTTTATGCTGCTACACTTATAGGCATGATAAGTATGCCAACGGACCTCGACAATGAGCATAACATAAAGCTTCCAAGTTCAAGTATGATTCTTTATATATATATATATATATATATATATATATATATATATATATATATTAATTTATGGATCCATTTCTCCCCTTTACCTATTCTTTAAAGAACTTGGATATTATGCTTTGTTTCGTAAGGGTGATGTTTGACACAACTGGTGATAGCCTTTGTATTATTATTCTATGCATTCAAGTTAATTGCTGGCCACTGAAGTCTAGTTTTATAAAATTTTGAGATTGCTTGGACGCTTTGTTTTTTAGAATGTGGATTAAGACAGTTGAAAGAGTGTAGAGTTAGGAAAGCTGGTGTATGAATTTAAACTTTTGGGGTCATAGGAACTGGTTTGGAGGCTTTAAACAATTAGGGAAAAAAATGAAATTCTGAAACCTAAAAGTTTCATGGGGACAGAAAATATCATCTAGCCTTCTGAGCTTCTGAAGAAAATCAATTATCTATTGTAACTTCTTGTAACATTTTTGTTGCTGCAAATAATTTTTTGGGTTAAAATCATAAAATCCTCCATATAATCCCCTGTAGTAGCAATAAAACCCCTTGGCGTTTTAAAATCCATCATGTCACCCCTAAACCGTTAGTTTGCTGTCAAAGCATAAAACTATATAACCAAAATGCCATGTGATTGTGATTGTCATTTACCAAATTTCATAAAACTACATAACCAAAATGCCCTTTTAAATTACGGTAAACCCATCATAACCAAAATGCCTTTTAAAAGCATGAATATTATAGTATATTAAAAAGGGTAGTAAAAAACAAAAAAAAATCTAATTGCTTAACCCTTAAAGCTTCTATCAGTCATTCAGATTTTCCTTATGTGTGAATCTTGTAGAAAAATCTGCCTCAATTTTGAATGTGACCTTGCGGGAGGGTTTCTAATGAGTAAGGGATGAAATAATCATGGAGATGGTGGACTGACGTCGTTTTGATATTGATCACTTAGCTAAGGAAACAATTGATTGTATCATGCAATTTTCTTAATATTAAAAGGTGGTCAATCTTGTTTTTTCACAAGCTAGTTAACAGTTCAAAAGATCACTTTTATTAGTTTGGGTTATTTGTTACTACAGGGGTTATATAATTAAATTGAATGATATATGGTTTTTTTTTTTTCTGAATATATATATATATATATATATATTTATATTTATGAATTTAACAATGGGTGTTCATTTTGCAGGGATGGAAGAATGACGAGTGACAAAGGAGTAGATAGAGCTTCATATGACGTTAGTAGGTGCACATTAGAAGATGGTCCATGTTCAATAGAGAAAGAAGAAGATAGTACACCTGCAGTTCCATAAGGAAATTAGAATCACCTCTTTCTTGCTCTCCACCAAAACATCACCTCTTTCTTCATCCACCTTCAACATCCTCTCAAAAACCCTAACCAGTGCTTGTTGCGCCAGCGAACCGTTGTGCTCGCCATTCCAATTCTAGCTTGAATTTGCCGATTCTCCACCATTGGCATCAAAATTATCGGTGCTCTACCTTCCATCAACGCTACAAGAAAACTCTCAAGGGCATAATGTTTTCCTCTTGCAACCAGCGTAACACAAAACCACTACATCAAAAAACATATCAAGAAGAAAGGTCGAGACCTTAATCTGGGTTCACGAACTTGTTCTTGGTTCTCGGACCTATGATTTTCAATCGAGTGAAGCCTCATCTAATTCCAAAGAAAAACGCGTGAAACCAACATACCGTCAAGGTTATATCAACAGTGCCTGTTGGCGACGGCAACCCCTCGTCCTCGCCGTTCCAATTCGAGCTTGAATTCGCTGATTCTCCACCGTTGGCATCAAAATTATCGGTGTTCTGCCTTCCATCAACACTGGAACTACTTTCTTTCTTGGTTGAATTGGTGTCGATTACAATGACCTGCTCTCGATGATGCGGATCCTTGTGTCGATCTCTTCGCGGACCTGGCGGATGATTGAGCCTCCCTTGCCGATGACACTGCTAGTATGAGTCCCAGGCAGAGGATGCGGAAGAGGTTAAGAGGAGGCTGTAATTAGATTATAGTCACTATAATTACTAGAATATTATAGTATATTCTATGACTATGTGATCACTTTCAATCCGAGAAGGCTTCCTTTTTTTTGGACTGCAATGTGAGCTGGATTTTGGGATAGTGAAGAAAGGATTCCATGGCTGGTTAAACAGATGCTCAGTGAAGGTTTTATGTACCCGAGTCTATACCATGCAGATTTTAGAGTGAGATTTCTCAACGTAATGATGCCTTGAATGTAAAAGCTCTTTGGCCTAAGCAACCTTCGTTAATCAGAGAGGGCTTTGTTTATGTTGTAATGTTGTCTACGGTTTAGAGGCTATGAAAGAAAGGATGTGAAAGCTCAAAAATTATTTCATGCAAGGTGGCATTTAACACATTGACTTGTGTTCTTCCTATTTTGCTTTATTTCTTCTTCTTTTTGTTTTTCAAGCCCCCTTTTCTTCTTCTTCTTCTTTTTCTTGCCTTATTATTTTTTTTTTTTAATATTTTTTTTTTTTTCAAAAATTCTCCATAAATGGAAGAAATAAATACTGCCCGAATCTTGGAGGGAGAATGATGATTCACATTAAAAATTGCCACCGAGTGTAAAGTAGTGATCCTTGATCGGGTTAAGAAAAGAAATTTATAAGGCCCAACGGGTTCGACAATGGGAGAACGAGAACGACCAACAGAAGGATATGTGAAAGGTGGCCTATCTTCATTTTAAATCTAATTGCTTAAGCCTTGAAAGCTTCTATCAGTCATTCAGATTTTCCTTATCTGTGAATCATGTAGAATAATCTGCCTTAATTTTGAATGTGATTTTGGGGGAGGGTTTCTAATGATTAAGGGATGAAATAATCACGGATATGGTAGAACTGACGAATTCTCATCCTCTTGATTTTGACCACTTAGAGCAGCTCCATTAGTGCTCTGTTTGGCGAAAATGACCCAACTTTTGGAGATTGCATGCTCCAATGGAATATGGAAAAGTGGACCCCAAATTTAGGCTCTCCATGGAGGTCGCCAGAAAGGGCTATTGGGAAGGCGATTGGGCTCACTTTTTGTGGGCCCATTTTTATTTTTTTTTTTTTTTTTTAATTCAGGCCAGAACGAGCCCAGAACGTTGTTCCTAAGGACATGTTTGGCTGAAATAAAAACTAAAATTCAGATTTTTTACTTACTTTGGTCTCCTTTTTTTTTTTTTTTTTTCCTCAAAATAATTGAACCAAAGAGCCGTTAAGGCACTGTTTGGCTGATACAAACAGTGCCTTAAAAGACTTTTTTGGGCAAAAAAAAAAGTTTTAAAAAATTGGAAAAAAGTGATTTTTTTTTTCGTTTTCAAAATTTTCAATGTTCCTATTGACATTATAGCCGTTAGGAAAAAGTTAAAAAATAAAATTTATTTTAAAATTTTAAAATATTAATATTTTTGGAAATCGAAAATGCACCATTGGAGTACATGCGATAGCTAAAATTTATAAACTTTAAAATGCTAACGTGGCTATGGGAAATGCTGATGTGGCAAATTCTGAGAGCTTAATTTTAGAGAGTCTATTGAAGATGTTCTTAGCTAAGGAAACAATTGATTGTTTCATGCAATTTTCTTAATATTTAAAGCAGGTCAAAATTGTCTTTTCACAAATAGGTAACAGTTCAAAAAATCACTTTTATTAGTTCCCGGGTTATTTGTTACTACAGGATATTGGTTATATAATTAAATTGAATAGTTTATATATATTTATGAATATGTACGGCGTGCACGGAATGCATCTGAATCATATGTATTTGTTCGCGCGGTTTTTGTTCCCTACGCCGGTCGATGGACTCTTCGCGGGCGTGCCAGAGTATTTGTACAAAATACCCAAAATATGTAATTGAACACCAGCCTATCCCTTTTTCCGATGGCTGACTCTCAGGCGATTGTGTGGGAGAGAGACTAGTAAGAACTCCCAGCAAGTTTCTTTTATGCCTTGTTTGTAGCAAGGACTTTTTAGAGTGTAAAGAAATGCAACGGCTGATGAATGTTTGAATGGATTGAATGGCCGAGTGAAGACAGGCGGCAAGAACTTAATCGATCGCCGGCCGAACGTGATGGCGAGAACTTAATCAATCGCCATCAGCCAAACACAATGGCAAGAATTTAATCGATCGCCACTGAAACGTGATAGCAAGAATTTAATCAATTGCCATCAGCCAAGTAATGACAAGAATTCAATCAATTGTCACTACGATTCAATGGCAAGAATTTAATCAATTGCTATTGAATTGAAAGCCTAACTAAAATTGCGTAATTAAAATTGGCATAATTGAAATTGAAAGAAAGTAAATGGCTGAATCGAAATAGTTGACAATGATCTAATCAATTGCCATTAAATTGAAATAAAGAAATTGATAGGAAAATGACGTAGAGTCAATTGAAAACATTTTTAGTTGAAATGCATGTTTTGTGGTGGTGCTGGACAAATTGGAATAGGATTACATCTTTCCTATTTATAAAATTATTTCTCAACTTATTTTCCTAACTTCTTGCTAGAAAATCTCCCATTCCCTTGATTTTCTTCACTTTGTTATTCAAACTAGGTCAAAATCCAATATTCTTTTGCTTCTTATCTCGTCTTGCTCCTTGCTTCAATAGGAAAATTCTTGTTGAAAACTCTCTTTGAGCTAGTCAAATGTAAGTTGCTAGAATGTTGCTGAAAAGTTGCTAAGTTCTAGCAACTTCCTTTTATAAACTTGGCAGCCGTGTTCTATCCCAAGTGGCCCATCCTTTAGCGCCATGTCAAGGCCACTTGTCACAATTAGATTTGTTCACTTCATGCTGCCAACCTTCTATACATGTCTTCAAAACTTTCCTTCTTTCATCAAACTAAACTTCCTATTTTATAGGAATTTAGTTATTGAGTTTCATCCAAACTCTAGCCTTTTCCTTTTCTGTTAACAGCCCATTTTGAAAAAAGTTAAATGTGAGTTGCTATATTTCAGCAACTGCCATATCATTAGGTGGCTGAAATATATCTTTCTATATTTGCTCCTAATATTTTCAAACTGGCCGATCCCTTTGACTCCATATTAGAAATACTTATTCGCTCTTATTGGTCCACGTCATCGCTGAGATGGCTGCCAAGTTTTGGTGCCAACAAATGCCCCCCAAATTTCAAATATCTTATCGGCCACTCAAGCCAATTAGATTTTTGGAATTTTTATAACATGAAAGAAACTTGCAGCCAACGAGCTTCTAGACTTTATTTCTTCCGGACCACCTCTAAGTTGCTCTTTATTTTGCGTCAGCCAGGACTGGCCTATCCTAGTTCTTCTATTATTCCCACAAAGCTACCTGAAACCTCTCAAAATATTAGCCATTTATAAACCCATGATAGACCTCACCATTGAAGTTTCCCAACTCTACTAGTAAGGCATGATCATGATCGGCTAAGATCAGGTTGTTATGTAATGTCATTTGGGCCGATCTAACTGGCTTTTCTGTTGAAAGAACAAAATTCTGCCAGTATGGAGCTTTTCTGATGGCTGACTCTCTTGAATTTTTAAACTCTTATGGAGCTTCTAAAAGTACGCCATCCCAAGTTTTTGAATAGTCATCTTCTTTAATGACTTCAGTTATATCAGCTGAAAATACCAAGAATGGTATTTCTTTTGTGGCCGATTTTTTATCTGCCAGGTAAGCTTTCAGAATGTCAGCGGCCATGATAGCCTGACTCCTCCTTAATTCTTTATTTGGCACCTCAACAACCGGCCGATGAAGTATTATCCTTGGCCAAAATACATTTTTGATTAACCCCTCGGCCAGACTTTTTTTCATAATGGCCGATGCTGATCGCTCCATTTTATTCGTTCTTTTGAACAAAATAAAATTCTCTCCGTGTAGCACTGCATCGGCCATTCAAAATTTTGCATTAATTGGCCGATTTATTTTCTTCCACGAATTTCTTCTCCACTTAACCCTTTTTAGTTTCCTTCCCTGCTTTCTTTTCTTGAAATTCGGTTGAGGATGACGAGTTAAAAGAATTCTCTCAGCCAATGATGGTTCTGGCTGAGGATTAGATACCACTCTTGGCCAAGAATTCTGGTAATGTGGCCGATTTGATCCTCGGTTAATATGTTTCCATTCAGGGCAGCAACCATGTTGTATGAGAGCCTTGACATTTGGAATGGCTGATGGTGTCCTCTCGGCAACCTTATGCTGATTCCCTTCACCAACCTTCCCTTTGGGAGCCTGGCCGATCACATTACTACTTGCGACGAATAGATCATTGTCAACCCCAATGACTTCATCATTCGCTCCCTTTTTGGCCGATACGGTAGATGTTCGAGTACCGGATGTGGCTGATTTTGGCTTTTTGTATATTGGTCGGCCTATTCCCCTAAGGCCATTACCATATTCTTGCTTAATAATATCAGTTACCTGAACCTTATCGACCGTCGTTGGCTGATTGGGTTGATCAATGACTAGTCGATCCTGATTTACCACTAGCGGCTGGTTTGGTATCAACTGCCCCCAAGTACTAAAGGTTTTGGCCGATATACTACTGGCGACTGATTTTCTGGTAATGGTTGATTGTAAATCGGCCAGCCTTGTGGCTGATTAGCCATCGGCTGCCCCCCGAATATCGAAGGTTGTGGCTAAAAATAATTTGGCCAGCCTTCTGGCTGATTAGCCATCAGTTGCCCTAAATACTGTTGCATTGTCTGAAACAAGTGTTTCTGGAATCCCAAATCTGTGGATGATGTTTTGTTCCATGAAATTAATCACTGTTTGCTGATTAACCGCTTTGCAAACCTTGGCCTCAACCCATTTAGTAAAATAATCTGTGGCAACAATCACCCAGTGATGGCCTTCGCTTGATGGTGGATTAATTTTACCAATAAGGTCAAGGCCCCAACCTCTGAATGGCCAAAGTTTGATTATAGGCTGTAATTCTTTTGCTGGTACATTTTGAATCGGCCCGTGTCTTTGACAACCTTTTGAGTAATCTATGCAATTTTTTCTCATTCTCGGCCAATAATATCCATACCTGCGAATCAGCCATCTCATTTTAATCCCAGCTTGGTGAGCCCCACAGCTGCCCTCATGTACCTCGGCCATAACCTGAAGTGATTCCTCCTTGCTTATGCATTGTAGTAGGAGCCCATCTTCTAACCCTTTTCTGTTTAGATCCCCATCTAGAAGCACAAAGTTGATCGCTTTTCTTTTAATACTTCTATCAGCCTTGATTTTTGGATTTCGAAGAAACATTATAAATGGTATCCTCCAGTCATCGTCGGCCAAATCTTTTACATCAATTGTCCAAGTATCAAACAACATAGTATTTCTCAATTCGGCCGATGGCAAAGATCTTCGTGCTATCTTTATCAACTGATCTTCTATTCCGGCTGGTACTCTTATTCCAGAGGCTGCTTGGGCCATGCTGTTGGCCCCCTTATTCTGCCCTCTCGGCCAGAACTTAAGTTGAACATTATCAAATTGATTAATTAATGAAGTGGCCAGAGAATGAAACGGCCTTAATTGCCAACTTAGGCACTTAAAATCTTCAGAAATTTGGCTAAGGACTAAGTTTGAATCTCCCAAAATCTTTACATCTCTAACAGCCATTTCAATTAAAATCTCCAGGCCGATTATAAGCGCTTCATATTCGGCCTGATTATTTGAACATTTAAAATCTAAAAAGAAAGAGAATAAAGCCTTTCTGCCAGCTGGCGAAATAATAACAATACCTGCTCCTGCTCCATCAGCCGTGCTTGATCCATCAAACATCAAGATCCAAGGAGTTAAGAATATAGCTGATGACTCCAATTCATCATAAACCCATGGATCAATATCAGTTGAAGGATGATCGGCCAAAAAATCAGCCAGAACCCTTCCTTTTACTGATTTTTGTAGGACGTAGATAAAATTGAATTCCATCAAAGCTAAAGCCCACTTACCTATTCGGCCAGTGATCAATGGCCTTGATAGCATATACTTGATCACGTTAGTCTGACAAAGAATGTAAACATCAACAGGCCGCATGTATACTCTCAACTTCATGGCCGAATAGTACAAAGATAAACAAAGCTTCTCAATTGAGGAATATCTGCATTCTACATCAGTTAGTACTCTACTCAGGTAGTAGACAGCCTGTTCCTTTCCATGTTCATTGTCTTGTGCGAGCATACTACCAATTGATTCTTCTGCGGCCGATAAATAAAGCTTTAACGGCCACTTCTTTCTTGGAGGCATTACAACCGGGGGGTTTGCCAAATACTCTTTTATTTTGTCAAAGGCCTTCTGATGGGATTCGTCCCAATGAAATTTCTCATGTGTCTTTAATTTTACTAAAGTCGAAAAGACATGCACTCGGCCAGCATGGTTAGAAATAAATCTTCTAAGAAAACCTACCTGGCCGAGGAACCTTTGCACTTGTTTTTTGTTGGCTGGGGCCCTAGCATTTATAATAGCTTTGACCTTGTTCTGATCAACTTCAATACCTCGTTTATGTACCAAGAACCCCAAGAAATTCCCGGCTGAAACTCCAAATGCACACTTCAATGGGTTCATTTTCAATTTGTGAATCCTCATCCTTTCAAAGGCCCTTTTCAAGTGTTCCAAATGCTGTCTCTTGGCCGATGATTTCACAACTACATCATCTATATAAATTTCCATGAATCGGCCAATCATATCATGAAAGATAGAATTCATTGCCCTTTGATAAGTAGCCCCAGCATTTTTTAAGCCAAATGGCATCACAATCCACTCAAAAGTACCAATTGACCCAGGACATCTAAAAGCCGTTTTATGAACATCTTCCTCGGCTAAATAGATTTGATTATAACCTGAATGGCCGTCCATAAAAGACAATATTTCATGCTTAGCGGCCGAATCAATAAGTTGATCGGCCACAGGCATTGGATATTCATCTTTTGGAGTGGCATTTTTTAAATTGTGAAAATCCACACAAACTCTAAGTTTGCCATTCTTCTTCATTACCGGAACAACATTAGACAGCCATTCAACATACCTAACTGTTCGAATAAATACTGCCTTAAGAAGTCTCTCAATTTCTTCTTGAATTTTGAGCATTACTTCCGAAGACATCCTTCTTGGTGGTTGTTTATATGGCTGAAAATCTTTCTTGATCGGTAATCTATGTTCTACCAATTTTCTAGACAGGCCAGGCATCTCTTCATAACTTCAAGCAAAGCAATCCTTATATTCATTTAATAATTTAATCAAATCGGCCTGGAATTTAGGCTCAAGCAAAGCACTAACAAATAATGGCCGATTATCTTTTTTAGTACCAACATTTATTTCCAATAAAGGATCTTGCAACTCTGCTTTATTATCTTCCATCCTGGAAGGGGCTGACTCCAAATCTTCAAGTTGGATTGCATCCAGCTTTTCGAAACCTTCTTCAATTATATCGGCCGTGTTGGCCGATACCTCTTCATATAGCTGTTATTCTCTGGCCAGTCTCTTCTCAGCCAGATATGCTTTCAGTCTTATGCAAGCGGCCCTGAAAGCTTGCCGCTTCTTTTCTTCATTGGTTTTTTGATCCATCAGTAACATCTTCAATGTCCTTGATGGTCGACCTGAAAATATCAATTTTCGGCCGAGCTGCTTCTGACAATAATTCTTTAATATCAGCATTAATTAAATTCTTCTTCATTGTTGCCGCTGCTGGTTGTCCCATCCTGTTAATGCCAACAAATTTGATAGGTACAACAGTTTCATCATAAAGTGCAGCCTCAACCGAATACACCTTAGCTATAAAGGGTTTGTTATCGGCCTCAACAATTTTTACCTCATTTCCATCCCAAAAAATCAACATTTGATGCAAGGTTGATGGGATGCACATGTTAGGATGAATCCAATCTCGGCCTAAAAGGAGATTATAGGCCGCGGTTGAATCAATGATAAAGAAAGCCGTAAAGGATGTCTTACCGCCAATAGTAATTTCCAAAGGTAGAATACCTTTGGTGTTACTAGATCCTCCATTAAAACCACTGATGGCCACGTCGGTTGGAACTACATCGTCCATGGTTTTACCCAATTTCTTCAAAGTAGTTGCTGGAATGACATTCACCACCGAACCATTGTCAACCAAAACCCTATTGATTGGCTGACCCTCAACCCATACTTTAACATACAACGGCCTCAACTGTTGTGTCATAGACAAAGGTGGTTTTTCGAAAATAATTTTATCGGCCTTAGATGGCTGATCCTAAGAGATCAATCCTATCCCGGCCGATGAACTTGTCGAATCGTTCTTAATTTCTGAAGATTCAGCCTTTTCTTCCTGCTTGGCTGACTCAACATCCCTGTTCATCGTTGGTTCTATCCTTGCTTCAAATACAGAAGGCGAAACAAATACCATGTTACAATTTACCTTATCCGGGAGAGAACCAAAACGAATTCTGTACTTGGCCGCATGCTTTGGATCTTGGTCGGGCTGATCATCTTTTTCTTCATAAAAGCATGCCTTATTCTCAAAGGATGTAGCGACCTCCATGTCTTCAGCCACCACTGGTTCATTTTTTCTTTCTAGTTGATCAAGGTCGATCTTGTCTTCTTTCCTTTTGAGTTCTGCATTTTTCCTTTGCATCCTCCTTTTTTGGGTACGTGTAGGAGACTGCTTAGGAAACTTTGGGTGACTTACTCGAGTCCATCTGCCATGGTCAACCAAAGGAGGTCTAACCGTTCTTACACGGTTAGATTCTTCTCCTTTTTGAACCCATATTTCTGACTGAATTGTTGGTTTCCTTTTGAAACTAGGATAAAAATGTTGTTCTGGCAGGACTCTATCGGCCATCGATAACCGAATGATTCTCACTGCCCTCGGCCCATTTTCTCTAAATATTGATCGATTGATTTCTTCGTGATTCTGTCTAGGCTGATGGCCTAACCTTTCATGGACACTGCGCTTTCTGGTTGATTGGAAATAGCCCCTCTTGTCTGAGTCATTCCTTCGGCCTTTGCAATTTGGACAACAACCATGGTTGATAAGGGCAATTTGAGCTTCTCTTAACTGAATTTCCAAGTCCTTAACTTTCTGCTCATCATTACTGGCCGATGAACTACCAAGAACTTTTGGTAATCTTTCATGTCTACCATTATCAGCGGCTTTTTCAGTTGCCAGGCTGATTACATTGGTACTGACAATATTAGGAAATGGATCGCCATCGACCCCCATTACATCTGGCTTCTTTTCAGGGAATTTCAATACACCTTCATCGATAGATTTCTGCAATACATTTCTAAATACATAACAATTGTTAGTAGTATGATTCCATGAATTATGAAATTTGCAGAACTCTCTTCCTTTTAAATCATTGGTCGATGGTATATTGTGTCCTTTTGGCAAAACGATTTGTTTGTCGGCCAACAAATGATCAAAAATTTGTTCTGTTTTGGCCAGATCAAACGTATAAACCTTACCAGTATCAGCCGTACCCTTCCTGGCCGATGAAGTCGATGGCTGAGTACCACTGGTGGATACATTCGGTTTTGTTAAAGCGTCACATACATAAGGCTTCTTTAGAATAACTTCGGCTAAATTAACTTCAAAATCTTCCTCTTCAACCACATCAGTTGAATAAACTTCATAGTTGGGGTCCCTATAGTACGTACCTTTAGAGGAATTTTTTTGTTCTTTCTCCTCTTTGAGAACCAACTCATACCTGGTAGCTTTCTCGGCCAGGTCATACATGTCACGAAATGTAACTCCTTCAAACCTCTTCCGAAGTTCAAAATCAAGGCCGTTCAAAGCCAAACGAATGTACTCCTGTTCTGGAAGAGGTACACGACATCTTAATCTTGCTCTCCTGAATCTTGTAATGAATGTCTCGACCGATTCACTAGGCAATTGACTTAGCCTGGATAAATCGGCCAGAGTAGGTTCTGTCTCCGTACGGTAAAACTGATTGTGGAATAATTCCTCCATCTGTGGCCAATTAAAAACAGAGTTAGGAGGTAGACGAATATACCATGAAAAAGCTGCCCCTGTCAAAGAGTTAGGAAAAAGTCTCAATTTCAACCACGGGCTAACACTGGCCTCTCCACATTGAACTGTGAATCGGCCAATGTGTTCCACGGTGGATTGATTCCCCTCTCCACTAAAGGTTACAAAGTCAGGGACTTTATATCCTCTAGGGAACTCAACTTGGTCTACCACTTCTGGATAAGGAGTTCTATAAATTGGTCGGCCGGCACCTCTAAGTTCCAGGCCATATTCTTCTGTGAGTAAATCAGCTAATTGTCTTCTATCTAACATGACTTGAGGTGGCTGATTTAATATTGGTGGTACCTGATTAAAAACTGGCGGCTGATTAGCCGCTGGTTGATAGCAATTCGGCCAATCATGTGGCTGATTAGCCATATTCTGCCCCCCGAGCCCTACCTGTGGTGGCACATGAGTATACAGTGGGTTCGGTGGCCTCCACCTGATCTGATTGCCCCCCGAGTTCAAAGACATCCGAGGAGGGTTTGGTGGAATTACCTGTGGCTGCGAACCTACTACTGGTGGCTGATTAGAACCTGCCAATGTAGGCTGAGGATAGCTTTCTGCCCAGGTGAGTAGCGTATGAACCGGCTGACTTGATGTTGCACCTGGTTGGAGTGTCACTACTGGCGGCCATGGCTGTGATGTTTCAACGGCCCTCTTTGGCCGAGCAGCTTGTGATAGATTCGGCTGAGAAGCCGATTCCTGATTGTTGGAGCTGCTAGCTTGAGTCGGCTTGTTCAAAATAAAGGCTGAGAGTTGGGACATATTTTCATGCAAGTCGTTGTAGCGTGCTCCCATCCTTCCCATTGCATCTACCAAGGAGCTAACCTGTGCCTGAAGTACGGCTAACTCATCAGTAGGACCTGCTGCAGAGTTCTCAGCCTGTACTAGCTGATCGCCTTCCTCCAAATCTTCATCAGTAGCCACTGCCTTAGAATTTTTTGTGGGCCGCGGCATATTTGCCTCTTTTATAACACTCTAGTAGTGGTCCCACCGGGCGTGCCAAAACGTGTTCGCGCGGTTTTTGTTCCCTACGCCGGTCGATGGACTCTTCGCGGGCGTGCCAGAGTATTTGTACAAAATACCCAAAATATGTAATTGAACACTAGCCTATCCCTTTTTCCGATGGCTGACTCTCAGGCGATTGTGTGGGAGAGAGACTAGTAAGAACTCCCAGCAAGGTTCTTTTATGCCTTGTTTGTAGCAAGGACTTTTTAGATTGTCTAAAGAAATGCAACGGCTGATGAATGTTTGAATGGATGGAATGGCCGAGTGAAGACAGGCGGCAAGAACTTAATCGATTGCCGGCCGAATGTGATGGCGAGAACTTAATCAATCGCCATCAGCCAAACACAATGGCAAGAATTTAATCGATCGCCACTGAAACGTGATAGCAAGAATTTAATCAATTGCCATCAGCCAAGTAATGACAAGAATTCAATCAATTGTCACTACGATTCAATGGCAAGAATTTAATCAATTGCTATTGAATTGAAAGCCTAACTAAAATTGCGTAATTAAAATTGGCATAATTGAAATTGAAAGAAAGTAAATGGCTGAATCGAAATAGTTGACAATGATCTAATCAATTGCCATTAAATTGAAATAAAGAAATTGATAGGAAAATGACGTAGAGTCAATTGAAAACATTTTTAGTTGAAATGCATGTTTTGTGGTGGTGCTGGACAAATTGGAATAGGATTACATCTTTCCTATTTATAGAATTCTTTCTCAACTTATTTTCCTAACTTCTTGCTAGAAAATCTCCCATTCCCTTGATTTTCTTCACTTTGTTATTCAAACTAGGTCAAAATCCAATATTCTTTTGCTTCTTATCTCGTCTTGCTCCTTGCTTCAATAGGAAAATTCTTGTTGAAAAGTCTCTTTGAGCTAGTCAAATGTAAGTTGCTAGAATGTTGCTGAAAAGTTGCTAAGTTCTAGCAACTTCCTTTTATAAACTTGGCAGCCGTATTCTATCCCAAGTGACCCATCCTTTAGCGCCATGTCAAGGCCACTTGTCACAATTAGATTTGTTCACTTCATGCTGCCAACCTTCTATACATGTCTTCAAAACTTTCCTTCTTTCATCAAACTAAACTTCCTATTTTCTAGGAATTTAATTATTGAGTTTCATCCAAACTCTAACCTTTTCCTTTTCTGTTAACAGCCCATTTTGAAAAAAGTCAAATGTGAGTTGCTATATTTCAGCAACTGCCATATCATTAGGTGGCTGAAATATATCTTTCTATATTTGCTCCTAATATTTTCAAACTGGCCGATCCCTTTGACTCCATATTAGAAATATTTATTCGCTCTTATTGGTCCATGTCATCGCTGAGATGGCTGCCAAGTTTTGGTACCAACAATATTATACACGTACAAGACACATATTATGCATATACAACTCAGATATTAGATATTCGGGTCCCAATAGAAAGAGACAGGATGGACTTGACATCCCGATTCAAAGCCCTAAGAGGGAAGATGAAAGAAAAAAAGCAATAATTTTTCTGGGGAAGGAATGAAGGGTCCTTTAACTTAAAAAAAAAAGAAAAAAAGAAAAAAAAAGTATTGAAGGGTCCTACAATTACAATCAGTTGGTCAAATTGATGCAGAATCGGAGCAGTTAGTAACGACTTTGCTGGTGAACAGATGGGTCCAACAATTGACTAGTGTTCTGGCCAATAATGAAAACATTCACGAAAAAAAAAAAATCTAAAAATTAAAAATGAATACTGAGATGGTTAAACGTAAAAGTAAAATGAAAGAAGATAAAGAGTAACTTGATAAGGGAAAGGTTGAAAAGTAGAGTGAAATTTATTATCTGATTCTAAGCACGTGAACTTTTTCTAGTTCCAAAGCATTTCGGTCAATGGACTGCCATTTTTTTCCGTTATCTCCTGTAAACCACACTAATTGGCAAGAAAGATGAAGAGGAATAGATGATAACTTTGAGGGAGTTTGGTATAATTATTTTGTCCTTTTATAAATTTATATTTATATTTTAAAACGAATAGTTGAGTTATCGCAATGGTTACCAATAATTCTAGAGAGACAGGGCTAGAGCGAGAGTACCCTTTCTTGGTAACCACCCTACTTCTTTTTATATATAGGAAAAACATTACTAGTTACACAGCAAGAAAACAGAGATCGAAAAGATAAAAAGAGAGCGACCTGGATAGGTTTCAAAAACGATTGTTCTCAACGCAGCATCATCAACTGTCATTCACTATGAGTTTGGAAAGAAACTCATAGAAGCCAATGAAAGGGACAAGGACGAGAAGATGGCTGGGATTCGGGGTTGAAAAGGTTTTATAGAAAATTTTATACAAATTGGCAAGTAATGGTCTCACACCCCTAGTCATGACAGAGAGTCTGAAAATAGTTTGATTAGTCCGTCTCTCACACTACTTTTCATTTTTCAAAGATAAATTGGCAGTAACAGAAGCAACCATTTATCTACACTAGATAGTGGGAACTTGATGATAATTTAAATTTAAGTCACATAAAGCGAGTTTGAGAGTAAAAGCACGGAAGCGGCAAAATTTAAGTCACACAGGAAGTAGGAATAGAAGTGCATGGAATTATAACTCATCACCTAAGGCATGTGGCCAGCATAGTTGTAGACTGGCACGTTGCGGTTCAAATGTTTGAGAAGGTTCACCATTGTTTGGTTGAGAATTTCAGTGAGAAATGGAACCCTGAATCGATGGGCTCTAGTATTTCAGAAGTATCCATTTATATTGCTCTCTACCATCTAAATTCTGGGGGAAAAAAATGCATATGGTAGTGCTTGATGCGTATTGCATAACACCACTGAGGAAGGTCGCTTATCACAAAATTTTCTTGCAAAAGCCAAGTGAAATCATTTGTGTTTAGAGTTCATGGGCCACATGGTGGGTTTTCACACACACACACACACACACATAGAACATATGTGATTCACTACTTGACTTGTAAGCTTGACAAATGAAGTAAAATTCATGCCTGTGAGAGTACTTTTTGCGAGGACAAGCAAATTAGCAATAGTTCACAGTTCCACAACAGTCAGCTACAGATATTACAACAAAAGGATGTGTGTATTTATCGCATGCCAAGTGTTTGTAGCCAAGGGAGCTAATCATCCATTTCACCGCGCTGCTGTGAACTTTCTGGTCCTTTGGCTGCTGCACACACATTATCCTGATCGGCAGAGTAAATTACTTCTTTTATCAATGGTTATTTCACCTGTCACAAGGATGAAGTCTTGACGGCACAACCAACGTTTCAGATTAGCGGCAAAGACAGGTAGCTGGCTCCGAATTATGGACGTCACCTCTCATTAAAAGAAGCTGGCCTCTGTACCTCAAAACTCTAAATTTGTTGACGCACAAGAGCCAGTGCCCAGACTGTACAATTGGTCAAGACTTAAATTTCAACCACATCCTTGGAATTCTAGTTTGGTGCTTCTATCTTAAGCATTAACGCTTTGAATATCCAGACTAAGTAAATTTGGGAGAACGAATAGCAGCAGTGCAGGAACAAGCTAAGATTCCATGTTCTGTAGTCTTCGGTGCAGTTTACAGAGCAGCTTTCGGCCCATTTTAGTAATATCACCTGATCATGCAAACAAATCCCCATTCAGACTACTATTGGTTTTTATGGTACCGGTGAAATTTTACTTGTCATAAGGATGAAATGAAATGACTGATACTTGACCTAACTTACGCAAATCTAATTTGCTACCTGGACCAAGGGTTAAGATGACGGTTTCATGATCAGGGTCGTTGGATATTTGATGTACCAACTTATCTATGATGTCTTCCTGGTAAACAATTACAAAACATAATCGATTGAAAACCAAAAAATGGTTACAGAACCAATCATGTAATATGAGTAGTCATTCAGTTTAAATGCCATTTTTTGCTCGCATAGCAAATTCCTTATATTCAATTTGTTGAACTAACTATAGTAAACCCGATAGATTAACCCCATGTGCTACATCTAGTGAAAACGGAAATCCAGCAACCAAAGACCTTTCTCTAATTGGAAGCATGTTTCTTGGAGTATTAGCTCTGGAAATTGGTATTAAACCACTCAAGGTGTGGCTATAGACATTCTTGAAACACCTTGATGTGGAAAAAGAACCTGTAGATATCTTACTTAGATGCCTTGAGAAGAGTTCCATTTTACAAAAACAATTTTAATCATCAAGGGACGGGTTTACTATTGAGTATATTTTCTTTTTAACTTTTACATCTCGATTTCAAGTAGCGGATTCTGACAATTCTACAGATTGTGAGATGATTTTCTCAAGGGCGCAAAAAAATAAAAATAAAAAGAGAACAGAAAACTGGGGGTCTTAACAGGTCGATTTTGGGTGGCTTTGTAAAATCCCAAAATTTCTCTTTCCCCACAAATTCTCGACAATCAAATGCAGCACTAGGTTGCTAAACTAAAAAGAAAAAAGGAGAGTAAGAATATAAAACTATAAAATTTCAAATGAACAGATTTGAAAAGCTAAAAGCAGAAGAAAATTTTGCTTTCATATTAAAGTAAAAATGACCTAATTGCATGTTAAAAATAAGCTAAAGATGAAGAAGACTATGTAACTGAAGGAAAGAATTCGAATCGAAATAGTGTTCAAACTTGACCAAGTATTGTATGCAAGTAACTTATTCATCACTTTTCACGTCAACAAAATGAAGCATCCAGTTTTCGAATTTGATCCCAAAAAGTTACCTAGCATATATTTCTCATACTCTCTCAGGCTCTATTTTCTATTTTTTCATTTTTTAAGTTTACATCACAGGAGTTCCCCAAACATTAAGAGACCAACATTATAAGCACCGATCATGCACGTCAAGGAAAAGCTACCATCTTTAAATATTAAAAAGGTCATTTGTGAACTGAGGGTTTGTAATATACCTGCGAAGGGATGTATTCAGATGGCGGACCAATTATAGTAGCAGCTAGATGCCTTCCACTAATATTCCAAATATTTGTTTCTCTGGCAGCATAAATCTGATGTCATAAATAAAATCATTATTTTCATTGGATATTTGTATCAGAAACTAGAACTATGTTTGGCCAAGATGCTTGTACCTCCGTAACTACAACTTGATCTGCGTTACTTAATGCAGATGCGAACTCATTCTTTAGTGCTGCTAGACGACTGCAAATTATTGTCAGTCAACACAATAGAATTGTCAATATTGTTTTAATTTGCTGTGGTAGAAGGGCATCTGCAGTATTTTCATTTTATTGAGTTGATACCTGTAGGTATGAGGCTGAAACACCACCAAAAGATCCTTGCATGGAAACCTTTCCCGTGCTGCTTGAAGAACGGCACAGACTTCTGTTGGATGATGAGCATAGTCGTCAAGAATATGGCATCCACAAATTGTACCAATCATCTCAAAACGTCTAGAAACTCCCTTAAAATTGCTCAAATGAAACCTCACGGAATCAAGTAGATCATATATTTGTCTTTGATCACTAAATAAAGCAACTACTGTGGCAATAACCTGCACATTGGAAAGTAAAAAAGTATACATAAGAGACTAACAAAGTTTTACCAAATAATAAATTTTGCAAACAACTGAAGGTAATGTAAGGAGTTATCTTGTAACTGAAAAAAAATTAAAAAAAGGAGTGGAAAAAACTAATACTATTGAATTGCAATAACACATAATCCATAAACCATGAGAAGCTGCAAGTTATTTTCATAAGGACAAACGTCGGGAAACTTGGCAAGGTTTCACTCACTGCTAATGAATTAAGGATATTGTGAACTCCTGGTATCTGTAAGCTGACATCAACCACTGGACACCCCCTATGGCACTGCAGGAAATAACCTGTTTAGATTTGGCGAAACTATCACTGTCGTGGAGATTTAAATAAGAATAGTTTAACAATTTGGGTAACAAGAAGATTAAATATTATCTGAAAGATAAGCAATGGACAACAAGTGCAAGTTATATAATTTAAATGATCATATCTGGAGTAGCAACCAACTTGCTCAATTAGGACATCAAGAAGCATTAGATACAGAAACATCTACGGTTAAGTTTGAACAATAATAATATCATAATCCCCGTTAAAATTTGAAAACAAAGCTCACGGCTTACAATCATCAAGCAAGTAAACAAATTAAACTAAGCTGCCCATAACAAAGAACGCAAATCTACCTTCATATAAATGTGAGTTTTACTAAAGCACTGAGGCTAAATCAGTTGAAGAAAATTTAATAAGCACAAATAGATTGGAATTGATCTTTTGAGCTGTAAATATCTTTCCTGTTTCTGCAAGAACTTTTTTTACACCTAAAAAAATAAAGTAATAAATTAAGAAAGAAAGAAAAAAAGCCTGCCAGAATTAAGGGCCAAATTTTTAAGATCCCAAAATAAAACTAAAATTGAAATTTATGGAAGCTCAGTTTGCATATAAAGAAAGCCACTTTGTTCAAATAATATCGTTATGTATTTGCACAGTCCATCTCTCCCATCATCCCACGTTAGTGGGATCAACACTTGCTATGGGTCTTCAGTTGAACTCTGAATCTTATGACGGCTCAACCCATTTTGAAGTATAACCAATTATTTCTCATAAAAGACGTTCAATATCAAGAATATTTGAACATATTTTGGAATTGTATCACCACAATGGCAAGGGCAACATTAAAGCCTGATTTCCTTATTATCCTATATTACATTTGGTGTAATATTTTGTAATAGAACAGCGAATGAGTATCCTACCAGTTTATAATCACTGCCACCTTGTGAGTTTGGACAAACTGATGTTGCATGCCATTCATTAAAACTTGACATTCCATATGTCATTAATCTGTACCTATCATTGTCTAGCTCTGAACTTGACTTCACATGGTTTGAACTGTCTGATACAGTAGCATGATTTCTGTGGCCCAGCAAGTCATATGCACCTACACTGGGTTGTCCCCTCCAAAGGAAGTTTTTAGAATCAGGATCTGGCATAAAATTGATATTCTTAATTTCTAACAAAGAGTTCATGGCAGCATAAGTACATGCAAAGCAGTATAAAATAGCATCCAGAGTTCTTATTTTCCAGTCCAATGCATGTGTCAAAGCCTTTTTGCTGGTGAGAGAAGATAACGGTGATGGTTGAGAACTTGAGATGCCTTACTCAACTTTCAAAGTGGATAATGTAATAGCATTATCCTAACAAAATTAAATAAAATAAAAACCACAAAACACTAAAATGGGAGGTAGGCTAAGTCATACAGTTACATTTTTATGTTTATGATATGATATCAAATGCTGAAGAACTTAGGACCTAGTACGATACATTCCCAAAAAAAAAAAAAAACCTTAAGACCTAGTACGAGAAACTCAAGCACATGAGTAGCCAAGCATGATGATGCAACAGTACTAAGCTGAACAAAAGTACCATACATGAGATTCTTTATTGGAAAAAGAAGGCACTGCATTCAGTCACAATATTTCTTAAAATAGTCATTTATTATCAAACTAAGGTTTTCTAATATTCTCTGTATGTATCAAATTTTGATTTATCTAAACTTATTTGCCATTTGGTTTTCCATCACTAACTTAACCAGGACTTTCATTTGCTAAGGGCTATTTTATTTTATTTGTCTAATAAGCCACTTGGAAAGTATGTGGAGAAAATATATATTTAGCTCAGTAATCAAAACATGTAACATATGTTACATGGACTTTTCAAAAGTATGTGAAATACTTACGTCGGACACACGACACTCGACCAAGGATATAGAACGTGTCCAACACAATTGGTTGGACATGTACCTAAAAAGAATATCTAATAAATCGATTCTATTACATCATTGTTTCAAAACGAGTTAAATGTCTATTTTGAACACTATGTTAATAATGTTACGTGGGAATGTTATTTTACTCCAAAAAATAAAAGAAAATTATTAAATAATACGATTATTTGGCAGTGTCCCTCTATCCTTCTATTAGAGAATTGTTACATTTGACACTCAGATGCATACATGCACCCGATACACGTATCCGAGTCCAGGTAACATGCATCCATATACTACCTATGATGTAAATATACTACTATATCTTCTTTTTTCTTTTACTTATCTTCTTTTTTTCTTTTTTATTTCATCACTCTTATCAGATTATTCAAGGATTTTTAAAAAAGATAGACAAAAAAGGAATCCCCGACAAAACTTAGCCCCTTTCACTTGGCTTCTAAGCCCATAGGCCCTCCTTCCACTCATTTCCATTCAGAAGAACAAGAATTTCAAAGCATTAGATCACACAGATATGCCTTTCTAGAAAAGCAAAAAGATCATCTTCGGAGCGGCTCAAGACAGAAACCAGTCCAATATTGGAATCACGAATTAAAAAAATAATGAAGATGTAGTTTATCAATTTGAAAATTCAAAGAAACTACAGGTAGCCTACCCCAACTAGATGAACAAATGCAGCAAATTATAACTATTACTACATTTCCATCCAATTAACATCCAGAATCAAATTATGAAGTGGAAACACCTAAGCACATGCATTTTCATCAAGTTCTGCATCTAAACAGGCATGTAAGTAAAACTGTATGATAATTGTATACTGAAACACCATTGCAACTAGGAGGTAGTAAGATCAGCCAAGACAAATATTAAGCCGGTGTTCAAACCCTATTACATTTAAAATATGGGATAAGTAACTATAAGGAGAACTGAGTATCAAATCTATCAACAAGCAATAAGTAAAACGTGGTACTTAGCAGCAGCCACATACTCGCAGACCATTAACAGAGATATGTTACTCCTGGGTGAGATAGAACAACTTTGTTATCAGTTTCTTCCAGTACTAGTCATTTTGAGTAGTCCATAAACTCAAAGACGGTCATTATAGATAAGAAAATATAACATATATGCTTCAAGATTAAAATTGTCTGATGCATCACAAAAATGTATGAACACTATGAGAAACAGTATGGCTAATAAATCAATACCTATCCCCGCATAAAATTAGATGTCCGCCGACCTTTATTTGCATCAGGAACTTCCTGAAAATAGTTTTAACTGCCTCCTAATTGGCATGCAAATAAATCATATCAGTCCACACAGATTAAGATTCAAATTATACCTACTTTTACTCTCATGGATGTAGTGTCAATCAATCACCAACCTCATCTTGAAAGATATCAACATGTTCCCATTCCACATTTGTTATCACAGCTATATCAGGTAATAATCCCAGGAAGCAACCGTCATACTCATCAGCCTACATCGAGCAAAAGTGTAAAGATGCAATTCTTAAAAAGAAGAATATAATGAGTTCAGTTTAAATTACCACAATCAGTATCCATAGAGAAAAGGGGGACGAAAAAATGGAGCTACTGTGATTTACATTTTCTTCATTGATTTATACTTAAATACTCATCAGCCTAAAGTGAACTTGAGGTAAATGCAGCTTAATTATTTCCGTTACATGGGGGAAGACTTCATTGTATTTATTTTAACGCATAAACAAGAAAAAAAATTTCTTGATCAATTCATAGAAAATCAAAATCATCATGATAATTTATTCCAAAAATCGTGCTTGTACGTATGATGATATCGCCCAGTTCACCACATGAGTCAATACTCAATTCTAGTGCAAAAATGATGGAAAGATATACCTCCAATACAAAGTTGTGACCACTCCCTGCGATGACATTTCCTCCAGAAAACTGCAAAAAGTACATTTTTATTATATCGACTCCTGTTAATAAACACAGGGATTCTCCTCATACACTGAAAATAAATCGAAAAAGTCAAATTTAATCTCAAACAATATGACAGTACTTAATAGAATACATAATTCAATTCCAAAAACTATGATAATTCATAATAGAATACAGAAACTATCAATCACTGGGATCAAACTTATTCACAAATGATAGACAAGAAGGAGATGCTTTATAATAGGGAAAAAAACATAGGAACTGCACTTCACGTTCTCAAAACAGATCTTCCTCCCAAGCTGTGTTGGGTAAAACAATACCTGCGGCACATGTGCCCCAACTATGGCTGTAACATCATCTCCCATTTCCTTCAAGACATAAGCCAGCATACTTGCCGTCGTGCTCTTCCCTGAAAGAAGTAAATATAATAACCAAAGTACTTTGAAATATATAAATTATGGTAGCTTCAGCACTAATGATGTTAGTATAGTTATGTGAACTCCGTTATAATTGCAAGTCATAATATTATACAAATGACGTGGTAGCTTAGTACTGTCATCAAAAAACTTTCGCAAGGTAACATATTATAGTAATTCAAGTCCTACACAAGCAAAAAGAAGGACAAAGCCAGATTATTTGTTTTGACGCCTTAAACAAGCCGGAACAACAAAGTAGTTGAAGTTCCATTATGTTAATGAATTTTTCAATAACTTGAAAATGGTGTTCCAAATATTTATGAGACAAAACTTCATATTATAAAAGATTTGCAGCACCACGAGGAAATCTTCAAGAAATTTGTCAAATCTAGCTTCATTTTTTTACCGTTGACTGGAAGAAATGTAGATGGTTAACCTAGTTTTGTTTTGTTTTTTTTTTGGTGTGTGTAACAATGATAGATAAGCTAAACAGCCTAAACGTGAATTGAAGTTTTTGATATAATTACCATGGCTTCCAGCAACGGCAATTAAATTGTAGTGCTCGGTTAGCTTTCCCAACCAATAATCTCGCTTGTACCTACAAGAGCAATGCATTATGTAACTCATAGGAAGTCATTATAGATTTATACTAATAGCATTCATCTAGTTTGCCCACGCACACACACCTATCCACATACTTACACGGGTATTCCAACAGATTTGGCATGTAAAACCTCAACATTATCTTGAGGAATGGCACTTGACACAACAATGGCATTAGGCAAACTTAACCCATTTTGCTTTTGAATATTCAATACAGAATGACCGGTATATAATCGTGCACCGGCCTCTTGTAGACCATCCATGAAGCTGCTCCACACAATATCCGAACCACTGACCTCATAACCCTATAACCAATTCAAATCATTAACCTTCAAAACATAAACATCAGTCAACTCTAGCTTAATCTTTACGTCTTAAAATTGACAACTCACAATACAATTACAATCACTCCAATAAATTTATTAGAGAAGTTAAGCTACAATTGATTGCACAGAAAATGTAGGAAAAGGAAAGACCGTAAGAAAGCAAAATTCTTGAATCTTAACATTTTCATGATTTAGGACTTAAAGGAACTACAATAAACTAAGCCGAGTACAATAATTAATGGGCTTTCATTCAGCTTTTCATTTATTATAAATGAAATAGCAAACATAAAGCGCAGAAAATTAAGACCCATGTTTTTCTTTACTTTTCCTTCCATTTCTCAGTAACCAAACAGAGGATGATCAGGGTTTAGAAGAAAGATTACTTGTTTAAGTGCGAGCATGGCAAGAGCAGACAACCCACAACCTCCGATGCCCACAAAGTGAACCCAACCCCTCTCATTTCGGTGGCACGAGTCTACAAATTCTTGATCTTTGTAGTTCTTACAAGTCGCAGAGACTGAGATTCCACGAGTGTTGTCTATCAAATTCTGAATGCGATTGAATCTGCAACGGATGCCCATATCGCCGCAATGTGTCAGAACGTGGGGTTTAGGTTCACACCGGCAACAATTCGCCGGGACGTGAAGCGAATTCGAGGAAGATAACGCCGGCAGCTCCATGTGTTCTTTTGAATAATTTCTCCTGAAAGGGCTGGCAGCTGGCCGGCCAAGTAGGTTTTTGGTGAGCCGGTCACTAGTCAGAATATACTAATGACATTAGTCTAGACTCTAGACTCTGACATGGAGTAAAATTTGGGTGCGCCAAACATTCCTGTAATACACTGCAATCATTTATTTTCAAGCGTGTAACACATGGACGGTCCTGATGAATCTGATATACCCGACACCAGGAACAGACCCACATGCATATAGGGTGGGGTGTCCCATATGGTGTTCTGGGTCCATTCCTGCCGGGCACATTCAAGTTCTTCTCCTCTCACTATTTTAGTTTTATTATTACATAATCCAAAGATTATGTAAAATATTTTAAAAAATATCCGTTCATAAAAATAAAATAAAAAAAATTACAAAATATACATGGTGAGGACATGAATTTGAAATGTATCCAATTATTTTTCATTACACGTACCTATTTTGGTTTCTTAATCGAACTTTGGACATATAGAATAGGGTGGGGTACTAAAAGTCTGGCCTTTTATCACTCAAACAATACTGTCACACTTTATTTTAGGCATGTTTAGGAAGTATTATAATATTGTTGAAAAGTAACACTAATCCAACTCCAGATTTAAAATTACCAATTGCTATCATGATAGTAGAAAGAAAAGGCACAAAAATTAATTTTTTATATATATCAATAATGTATTACATTATTAATTTATCACCATATAATGTCTTTTTGAGATTTATCGAATCACTGCGTCTGTGAGTAGCAATGTGTTTCTAGTGAGTATCACATTGTATTTAATCCACCTTTTGAATTGAAAGATAGATGATTTAAGTGGGCATGCTATTTTTCATAATAAGAAAAAAATAAAATAGTAACAAAGTGTTTTTCCAAAAATACAAACCTCCCATGTAGCTCACCAATTCTAACTTGATTTATAAAGTTTTTATAAGTAAATTATTTTTTTTTTCGGTTTATACACATATATTCCCATTGAGTAATGTCTATGGGAATGTATAATACTCATAACTGAAACAGCTTTAACAGCTTAGAAGATTAAAAGAATTGAAAAATATTTAAATTTTTTGTGCGTTTGTTTAGGATGAAACGAAAAATTTTCAAGAAACTAGATTCTCGCAAGTAGCTAATTTTCTTTAAAACGATTCCCGTATAAAACACGCGAAAATTTTTATTTCTCGAGAAAGTTGTTAAGTTATATTTTAAATTCCTATTATACTCATAATTATGATAACTTGGGTTTCCGAGATCTTATTTTTAGCAAATTTTTTTTAATCTATTTTTATTGCTTTATTCTTTTTTTCCCTTTTTTTTTTCTTTTGTTTTTTTTTTTTCCCTTCCAAATACGTATTTACATATAACATATTATGGTGGATATTTTTTAAGTGCATAATATTAATTTTCAATATGTGTATATACATATCAACTAGGTTTTAGAATTTTGATACTAGAGTTATTATAAATTTTACGAAATATATACGTTCCTTAAAAAGAATAATACAAAATATTTTATAGTTATATAATTCTAGTTGAATTAAAAAAGAAAACCTCATAAACTTGGTTGTTATATGTAAAATTGTATTGGTTTTGGTTATTCTAATATAAACAAACATCTAGTGGAACAATCCTAATCTATTCAACTTCATCAAAATCCTTACTATTATTATATAAATTGTAATCATATATATATATTTTTTGTTGTTGATAATAATATTCTGAACTTGTGTGACTTGGTGTCTCACACAAGTTCAGAATATTATTATCAACAACAAAATTTGATGCCTGAATTAATTTTACTCAAATTTATTTATATTTTTAGTATTTAAAATTATAAGGACAATTTTGATAAGTACAATCATTTTCTTTTCTCTTTCATCCTATCCAATCTAACAACATAATATTTTGTCACAACTTTCTTGAAAAATTTTCATGCTAACCAAATGCACAATAGAAACATAATTTTCTTTTCCTTCACTTTATTTTCTTTCACTTTCACTTTTTACCATCTATTTCCATCTAACCAAATAGACCCAAAGAGAAAAGATACAAGATGTTAAAAACTTGCAATTTTGCACTTAAATTTATTTTAATATATATTTGGGCATTTTAATGTTGCGAACAATAGCTACTTTTGAATATTTGGGCTACAGTACATATATTTACTTGGGCCTAATAAGCACAGACCTTGCAAGTAAATTGTTACTGGGCCTATTAACCATTGGCCCATGCACACTGTACAGGTGGTTTTTTTTTTTTTTTTTTTTTTTTTTTTTTTTTTTTTTTTTTTTCTCGAGGTACATTGTACAGTTTACTTATCTATATACAATCACATTTATCTTCAGGAAAAAGGAAAAAAAAAAAAAAAGGAAGAAAGTCCGAAGATTCTTACTTAGGCTCCGTTTGTTTGGAAATAAAATATTTTTTAAAAAATATTTTTTTATTTTTTGGTGTTTGATTGTTGTAAAATATTTACGAAGAAAAAAAATATTAAAATTTAGCAAAAATAACTTATCCATTAAATTTTAACAAGTTATTTTACATATCCCGCCCGATGAACTCGACCTCAACCTTGATGTAGACTTTTCCCAAACACCGACAAAGTAAAAATAAAAGAATATTTTACCTGGAAAAAAAAATATTTTTCAAAAAAAATATTTTACTTCGAAACAAATGAAGTTTTAATGTGAAGATGTTATGTTATGCATTACTCATGTTGCATGAAGTATATATACTACTGCATATCTTTAATTTTTTTTTAGCAATAATACAACATTCAAATTCAGATGATGTCGCATAGAGAATATGTGAGTCGTTTTCTCTAAGCTTCAATGTGAAATGAATGCTCCGGTTATTGTTCTAACAGTGAATGAATTTTTTTTTTATCCTTTACACTTGTAGGTATATAAGAATGACATTATTTATTATTTGAAATCTTATCCTTCTTTTACGGTGCACTCTGTCTATTTGAAAAGAAATGTCCCAACTTATACTTTAGTTAAATACATGATAAAAGTTAATTTACATTTCTTGAAGCATTTTATTTCTTACCTTATGAATTGTAACTCTTATCAATCTATTAACTCTTCTTGTCGAGAAAATAAAATATATAATGTATGCCAATCTAAGTGATGGACCAAATAGATAATACTCTCCTCCTCGAAAAAATGATGAGTGTTCAAGTCTCAATTAAAACATAAATGTATGTCGGAGTGATATCATATAGTGAGACCTACACTTTCACTAATTCAGATAATACACCATCGTTATCGTCAGAGAATGTATTATTGTTCTTTTTTCTTCTTTACTTAAATCATCTAATTATTAAACCAGTATGTCGGTCGTTAATATCAAAAGGACGATATGATAATTGACAGGACTACGTGTGTTTTTTCTTCCTTGTTGACAAGGATTGTCCACATTAACAAGTCTTAATCAATCATCCATGAATAATAAAGTGAGAAGGCATCATCCCACTTAGGTTAAATAATTTGGGTCCATTATATATATGTGGGTTGCTAATACAATCTCCACGTACCCCCATTAACACATTTAGGTTTGGTTCTCACTCATCGCATTTATTTAGACCACTTCAAATTAGAAATAAATTTGAACGATAAATTGTATTCTTCTCGATTTTTGATATTATCACTACTAAAAGTATTTTTTTTTTGGGAAGGTTACTAAAAGTATTTTAGTACGCATGATTGGTGAGCTCCCGAGAAGGGCTGTTAATAGTTGTGGCAATGTTAGGAGTCGGTTATTTTGTGTAGAATGATTCGATTAAAAGAAAAAATTAAAACTTCGTGACACCTAAAAATCAGGTGTTCCACAAGGAGGGCATTGTTGCAATTAGAATTGATACGGAATATTCGACTACACCTAATTAAAAGTTTCCCTCATTAAAAGGATGAAAGGCCAACTACACCTCATTCCTTCATTAAAAGGTAAGAGGCCGACTACACCTCATTCTTTCATGAAAAGGAACGAGAAAACGACTACTCCCTCCACACAGAAGGGCGCCCTAATTAAAGCTTCATTTATTTACTAAAGAGACGAGGGGTTAACTACACCTTATTAAAGGTATTCTTATTAAAAGGATGAAAGGCCGACTACCTCATTCCTTATTAAAGACACCTCATTTCTTATTAAAGAGACGAGAGGCCGATTACACCTTATTAAAGGTTTTCTCATTAAAAGGATGAAAGGCCGACTATACCTCATTCCTTCATTAAAAGGTAAGAGGTCGACTACACCTCATTCCTTCATTAAAAGGAACGAGAAAACGACTACTTCCTCTACACAGAAGGGCGCCCTAATTAAAGCTTCCTTCATTTACTAAAGAGACGAGGGATTAACTACTCCTTATTAAAGGGTGAGCTCACAAAACTCGAGCAAATCCACTCCCTTATTAAAAGGGGCAAGAAAGTAATCATCAAGCATACTTAGCTTAGAAGGACTTGGCATTCTCGAATCTTGACAACCAAGATTTCGGGAATGGGGGTTACTAATGCGGAATATTTGACTAGATAAGAATTTCAAGTGACATGGAGACTTAAAGGGTATGGATAAACTTAAGGAAATAAGGTGACCATCTATAAGGTAATTAAAGGATAAGATTTGATTAATTCAAAGGTTGCACTAAAAATACGATTAACTAATCCCTTCTCTCCCGGAAGGAAATGCGAAAGACAACTTCAACTTGCTATAAAAGTGAGGCCAGTCAACAGAAAATGTACGCCATAAATCCCATTTTTAATCCTTTATCGAAGATGGAATCTTGGAGTACTAACTTGACCGTCGGAGTGCACCCGGCCGGCACCACGCCGTTCATCTCTTTTTTCTTGTCTTGCAGGAATCGTCAGCGAGTTCAGAGCGTACCAATTCTTTCCTCAACAAGAATGAATAATTTAATAATTGTAATGCCTGGAAGTAAATTGATTGATTGACAACTTTTTATTGATCATGTATGTAAAAATATAAAGAACATTTGCGACCAATCAAAAATTGCCGATCAAGCATTTCATTTGACGAGAAACCTTCTATTAGAATTTGTCTAAGTCAACTTGTTTAAAATCTAACTTAATTATTATATAATTTTATTCAAATCAACTTAGTTAATGGGATAAAGCGC